AACAGAGGGGATTATGCAATGATCTGTTTGGTGTTTCAGCCAATCAGAGGCAGGCTCTGTATATATCTGAGACCTGTGATATATGGATGAAAAACAGTATAATAGGGGAACTTTAGGACATTGGGATTGTTTTCAGAAAAGTTTCGGGAGCCCAGGATTATTTGGTTTATCTTTGTGTTCCTCCCTCCTAATGTACAATGCTGCAACGCAAACATTTCTTATCTTATCTTATCCAGCCCCTTCAAAGGAAGAAGACCCAGTGACATCACTTCCTGTGCGGCGTGAGGAGGTCACGGAGATCACGGAGGTCACGGAGATCACGGAGGTCACGGAGATCACGGAGGTCACGGAGGTCACGGAGGTCACGGGGGTCCAGGAAACAGTCACAGAGAAAACTGTGTGGCTCTTCTAGGACATCAAGTGGGTCGACTGAAGCCTATGAAAAAAAAAAATCTTCTTTCCATATTTTATTTGGTCCTTAAAAGTCAATTTTCTGCATTAAAGTTAAACTGTATAAATCTAACCTTTAATATTCAAATCATTTCGACGCCACCTGGAAAAGCTGTAATCCAAATGTGTGTTTTTCTGTAAAATCGAAATACTTTTGGTAAATTACGCAATACGAAACCTTAAAAACAACCCCGAGCTAAAATGTATCTTTGCACAGGTGACATCTTTCTAAAGACTCTCCACTTCTTTCGGTGCTTTGTCTTTCTCTATCTGTTTTCCAATATGAACCGTCAGTATGATGAGAAAGTTTAATTTAAAATGTGTAAATATTATCTACACAAAGACGCACATTTTTGGGGATCAATGAAGTAAAAAAGCAAGTATTTCTTATGTACCGTCTCTTTTCTAGTTTGTAGAACTGTAATACACTTGTAACAATGCAGGTGGTGTTGATTGTTTATCTAATGAACGTAATAAATGTATAAGTAGAGATAATATAGTAAACATGAATACGATGAAAAAGGAGAAATAAAATGGATTTTTTTAAAGTTAGTCAGATTTTTTACTGTTTAAAATGTCTTTTGATTAAATGTTTGTAAAAATCTCTTCTGTATTATCTTGATCACATGACTGCTGTCTGATCAGATCTACTTTACAAAGGTTCAAATGATCATCCGTTAGTTATTCAGTTCATTTATATTATACTCAAAATAAGTTCCTGGTCTTTAAAACGTCCAAACATCAAAAATCTGAATCTTACCCCTGAGTTTATATTTTGTATTATTTAAGTTTCAGGTACATTTGGCTTAAGACTTTTTATCACATCTGATTTTGTTTCTTATTGAATACTTCACAAACTATTTGAGAAGTAAAGTAAGTCCATATGGAGTTAACTGTTCACATTAGTTCTTTTTTTATACAACCACAAGAGGTCGCCAAACAAGTAAAGTTACAATTATAACACACAGGCTTTAAAAGTTTCTTCCATGCCCTCATTATAAGCAATGTAGAGACACTACATACTGATATACACCTGACTGATATACCCTGAACATCAGCAGGAGAGGACTCTTTAAAGTAGAGACACTACATACTGATATACACCTGAACATCAGCAGGAGAGGACTCTTTAAAGTAGAGACACTACATACTGATATACACCTGAACATCAGCAGGAGAGGACTCTTTAAAGTAGAGACACTACATACTGATATACACCTGAACATCAGCAGGAGAGGACTCTTTCCTCTGTAAATATTGCAAAAAATGTGTATAGGCAAATCAATATGCATAAGTGGATATATCTTTATTGAATAAATTAAATAACATGTAATTAATTTACAGATAAATCGGTACATCCTGTTATTTACAGTTCAGAGTTTTAGCTTCTTTGCTTTGGTGTCATGTTACATGGACAAACATTTTAATTAAATGCAAATGTTCACCTCGCTTAACTTGACTTTCCTTGACGCTCTGAAACGTTATTGTGCATAGCTATATTTTTATTCCATTTACCATATTTTGCAAGTGCTTTGGGAAGCCAGAGTGGTTTGTGGTTTGTTTGTTATAATATAGATTGTTTTACTTACCAATTATTTATTTTATGATAATTGATTTTGACAACAACATTTCCCTCGCAGCAAAAGTAATAGCATCCAGGAAAACACAATGTGTCTGTATAACTCAGTTTGACATGAGTTGTGTTTGAATCAAATTGACCTCAAAAGCTCCATCAACGGTTGTTCAACCAAACCGCTTGGTTTTCATTTTATTGAAAAATAAGATCTTTATGCCCTTTTTGTTGTTCACTTTAAGAGATGTTAAGGTCAGGAGGGCACAATCTGAAACATCCTGAAAAAAAGAAGTGTTTTTTGTCATTAAAGTTTGTATTTTTATAAATACTTCAATGTACCTATGGAGATGGATATGAACCAAACCAACGTTCATGTAAATGGAGCTTTCTGTACGGTGGCCGACGGGTGCAAACACTTTATCAGCCCAAAACATTTCCATTAGGTTTTACCAACTTGAGGAAACATGTGCAGCCTTTAATTTAACCTTAAAAGCTTAAACGCTGCAAGAATCTCAAAACACAACGGAAACCAGGGGACACTAA